ATGCGCTTCAGTGGTGCCTTGTTAACTACTTCATCGACAAAAAAACAGAATCAGCCCAGGGGAATCAATTATAGCCAATCAACGACAGCAGTTGAATGGCGAAATAATTGTTAGCTAAACAAAAGAAATCAACCCCCCGCTTTCCACGTCTGAAGTTTCGAGGTGTTTGCTGCGCTTGTTTTCTTTCTCTCCTTTTCTTCAGTCGTCACAACCTCCGGCTCGCCCTGCCGCATGCCATGTCAAGATAAATCGACAATCCAGCTCAAGTCCTCCGTTCTTTCAGTCGACATGTGGAGTTTTCTGTCTCCCGGCGGGCCCATATTTAACGACGTGTCGTCCAACGTTTTTTCCGTTTGGTTTCTTTGTTTGCGTGTTTTTTTTTTTAGGTAGCTAATAATGGCACATACAAGCTAGACGGTCTACAGCCTCCCCCAAAATGGCTGCACAGTCAACTACAAAGATATGACGTGCCTTGACATGTGACCGCACGAGGGGAAAAAAACAACGGTGCAAAAAAAATAATTCTTTGTGAGCATGCGCCTCACTGGCCTCTTGCTCACGTGACGGAGTGGGCGTATTTAAGCCTCTGGCGCGGGAGTATCGGAGAAGAGTCGAGCGAACGGGAAACCGAGGTTAAGAAAAAGCAGGCAGGGTAAGTTCTGGTAATGTTTTTATATTAAATGTTTTCAATTAATTTATTGTTTTATCTACAGTTATATCACATTAAGTATCGTTCACGTCGGCTAATTTGCCTTCTTTAAACGTGGCTGATTGTTTTTCCTTAAGCTCCAGCTGACTCGAGGCCTTCTTACCATGGCTTATTTTAAAAGTGGGGAAACTTAGACCATATGATCCTTTCCTTATAGAGTAGCGTTTCTAAGTGGGTAGAATCACTAGTCAATGGTAAGCTAGACAGCTAGAGGTTTAATTTTTTTTTTAAATATAATTTTTGCTAATTAAAAATCAAGCTTTCTTTGTCTGCTACTTGTCCTGGCTCAGGTTTCGAGAAAAAAAATGAACGTCAGTGGAAAAGTAAAGCAGAGCCACCAGAAGTCCAATGAGAACATAAAGGTAAGTACAAAGACTTTTAAGTTGTTTCGTCATTTTGTCTTTCAAGTGTAAACACTGGTGGTAATTATTTCCCTAGTAGTGCTCAAATATCTCCTATACTACCTTTCTTGGGTGACTGGTATAATTTTAGAGAGCTTCTCATGAAATTCTTATTTTTTTCGGGTGAGGGTCAGTATTTTTATTTAAACTCCAAAACCAAAAACTTCCATGTAAATATAGAAGGCCAAGATTGCCTCTTCCATTTATTGTTGTCTTAATTCTTTTATATTAACATGTATAATCCAGCTGCAGCAGTCTCTGGACATGTAGTCTCAACAGAACAAAGCCATCTACTGTAAGTGGCTTGAAGGTCAGTCCTAAAGGACGCTTCAGGGTTGGGTTGTGTGGAAAGGCACTTAAATGTGGTATTTCCTGTAAAGTGGTATTTAAATTCGTCATATTGCTGAGCAGCTCTGTGTCTTATTGCTTACACTAAAACAAAATTACATTTGTTTTAGTTTCTACTTTGCTGTTCCTTAAGGAAAAGGCCCACTCACAACTTAATCACCCATTATACAAAACACCCCAGCAGTCTTGTGAAGCTGTGGCCAAACATTAACAAATTATGTTTTCTGGCTGCTCTGTAATGATCATTGGAGAGACTTTCCCACGGCTGTTAAGAATTTGTGCCCTACCCGCGCTTTGCACACCTGTAGGTCTGTTGCACATGGCACTGCTGTTGTGGCACCTCACTTGTGCCCTTTCTCCTGGTGACAGTGTAACTAAAGCAAAGCTTGTGAAGTGATGCTAATCCTTGCTGAATAGAAGCTTTGAGAATGAGAACATGGGTTCTGCTACTTTCCCATGTGACTCAATCTTTAGTTTCTAAAGGCTAATCAGGGGGAGGGGGAGTCTACCTTCTGTTTTGTTAGCATGTTGTAATCTAATCAGATATACAGTAACGGTTACTTGTGTTGGATGCCTTTCAGAGCCTTCTCACACCTTCTCAAAAGACTATGGGACCTGCCAGGCAAACCCTGCAAGTTCGTCAGGTTAACTCAGACCTGGGGAGGTCAGCTAAGGTTTGTAGTAGCTGTCCAAATTGGCTTGCATGAGATTAAGACTTGTAGATGTTGAATCACTCATGAAAATTGCATCTTTCAAGCCTAAATTTTGGAAATGATTTGTTTTTAGGCCGGAAAGGTTGGTCCAAAGCGGAAGAATTGGACGGCTGAGCAAATCAGAGGATCAAAGAGGGTCAAGATGGAAGTCAAATCCACTCAAACAGAAGCAGCTGATGGGTTAATGGATGGCATGGCCAAAGAAGCATATGAGCTCATGGTCAAAGGTAGAGAAGGCAGCACGGTGCGCTAGATGGTCACAAATTTTCACTTTATCTCAAACTCTGATCTAAACCCTCTGCTGCTGTTGTAGAAACTCCACCTTCCACCTACTGGAAAGAGGTAGCAGAGGAGCGACGGAAAGCACTGTACAATGTTCTACAGGAGAATGAGAAGGTGAGTTAATCACTGAGATTCTGCTAATGTTTAGCTGCAAACTGAGCTGTTCCCACGCTCCCACTGACACGCTTGACCTTTGGCTACTGACCAGCTGGCACTTGAGTAGCTCTGAAGCTCACTGAATTCTCCTCTATATAAAAGGTGCTGATGCTGGCATTTTTCTGCATTCATGGACACTACTTCACAATTCCTGTAACTCCTAAATTGTTTGGCTAGATTGCCTGTACAGTGTATTAACGTGAAGCAGTTTTCTGGTTTAGACCTCCCATGTGTAGGAGGTTGTCTTAACTTGGTGTTTGCATTCGTTGTTTCAGCTCCACAAAAGCATAGAGGCCAGAGATGAGCAGCTAACGAAGCTTCAGAGTGAAAATGAAGAGCTGCAGGAGCTCGCTCAACATGTCCAGTACATGGCTGACATGATTGAGGTAAGTATTAAAATTTGACTGCACATTGAGTTGTGGCAAAAAACTATATCTGTTAATCTTATCAGTTGTGTACCAACATTACTGTGGACAGTTTTGAGAAAGTGGAACTGGAGGGATGCACCAGGAAGCTTAAAATGTATGGCTAAACAAACTTTAAACAGATTGGAGTTCAGTTTATTGGTGCAGCCGCAACCGTTTCAGTGTCTTTTTTCCACTCGGGGAAAATAAACTGCCCATCCTGTCTAGAGATGCTTTGCATAATTAAATCTTAACACAATATGCGTCTGATCAAGTTTTACAAATCTGGCTACTTGCTGCAGCATTGCAATTACAATTTTGGACTCTCATTCTGTTTAATCAGTGGGCACAAAGTAGTAACTTGGTGGTAAAAATTTCAGTCTTTTGAGCTAAACCCAAATTCCCTGAGCAGAGTACTTAACCAGGTGGAGAGCTGCATGGATAAACTGGACAGGACTGCACAGATGGGTCTGTTGGTAAATTAAACTTGGTGTACTCTCTTTTTAGAGACTGACTGGGAAATCTCCTGACAATCTGGATGAGCTCAGAGGGATTGCCTTTGATGAAGATGAGGCTGAACATGAAGGCGACGACTTGGCAGATCAGAGTGAAAACGATCCACACTACAGTTACGGCTCTGCAGAAGAGCTATCGGATGATGAAGAACCAGGACCCTCAGGACTCCAGAACTAATACTGCATGACTGAGTAAGCTTTGACTGCAACGAGTACTTCGTTTGAAGGAGATGAGCTTTAAAGATGTGTATGTACTCTAAATTCAGCCTGCAATTTTTTTTTAAATATATTTTTCATCATTGCTCAAGTTTTTAAGGGTCTTAAGAAACTAAGCCAGTGAAGGTTTCCTTTAACAGAAGACCCCTTGATGTGTCACTGTAAAAAGTACAGATGTGAACTAAGCTGCTGGAACCTGAGAGACTTCCATGTCAGGGTGTCCACAACCATTAGTCTAAAAGAAGTTTACCTTGGCCAGGTGAAACTAAAATGCTTGTCCAACGTGCTTCTTTTGGCACTTGATTTGTCTTGTGGCTCCTGTTGAGCTGACAGTGTTTACAAATTTTACTTGAACACCTGTTTTTCCCTGTTGTGATAAGTTAAATGTGCACTGTTGGTCAGTTATTTACTGCCAGATGTGGCAAAGAGCATGGCCCTGAAATGTTGCCTCACTGTAAAATTTTGAAGTTGGTGTAAATAAACTTTATATTTTAAATCTTGACACTTATTGAAGCTTGTAGTTCTTGCTGAACCTAAAGGGTGAAGTTGCTACAGAAATGAGAAAATTATAAATGGGTATGCTAGGGACTCGGGGGGTGTCCGCTCTCCTCACACTGATGTGAAATGTAATTTGTTTTGTCGGTTTAAAGGTATCATTTACTCGCAGAGTAGACTTGAAGTAAGAACACTCGAATGTGCTGCTAATTTGGCAAGAGTGTTTGTGCAACCTTTATGCTGCAGTGTTTGCAGTATACCCTAAGCTTGTTTGAGGATAAGCTTAGACCAGGGGGTTTCAAACATGCTCAGGGGTAGGACTTGGCTCTGCCAAAGACTCCAATCGGTCCACTTGGTGGTGTTGGGATAAATCTTGAACTTTTATCTGTATTTTGAGAAGCGTTGCAGCTTTTCTCACTGATAAAGACCTCCTCGATAGCCTGTCATACTACAGCAAAGTGACACACAACTGACCTCAACTAGAGATGTCTTTGTTACTGTGCTATGGAAGGAAAAACTGACTTGCACTGGTGCTCCGGCCCATTTAGGATCAGAGTATGCTGTATGTGGCTCAATGTAAAATGAGTTTGGCATCGATTACGTATGGATTTGCATATACTCATTAGTATTAATTTAAAACGGCAGTAGGACTTAAAAAAAACAAAAAAAAAAATTCTATTTAAGACAATGGGCTCACGACCCTGACAAGGATAAGCAGAAGAGAATGGATGGACTCCGTGTGGGGAAAGAGAAATCCAGTGTTTAATTATGCAAAAATAAACTTTATTGCAACTTCTTAATGAGCAGAGGAACCACGACGGAGAAGAGCAGTGTGCAACCACATGAATCAGTACTGAAGCTATTGACCAAGAAGATGGATGAAGTTCAGTTTCAGCAGTTATTATTAAAACCTAAATTAAACGTGCACATTTCGCCACCTTGTATTATATACGGTGCTAAGGAACTGAACAGTCCACCAATTAACTTGTTAAACAGGTCAACAGCGAGTTTGTGAAGAGAGAAAATTAGACACCGAGTGAGTTACTGGACCAAAATACTGTAATGCTGTTCACATCTCGAAAAGGAATTTAAATTTGGACCACGTTTTGCAAAAGGCTGCATGAAAGTAAAAAAGAAAACTTTTAGTATCAACTTCACATATTATATTACAAAAAGAATACCTTTCATAAAAATACTAACCGCTTGCTTTTTAATATGGCTTTTGGATTGTGCAGTTACAACCAGATGTAACGAGATCCTCATATTACAGGTTTGCCTTTTTCCTTTTTGTGCTTCCAAAGATAAGTCTGAGGGTTCTGGTCCAAATGTACACGCTGTATTGAAAATACATTCTCCTGGATGAGCTCTTATTAAAAGACCGTTTTAAAATCCCAAGATTTTTCCTTTGGTTATAGTAAATCTACTTAATAAAGTAACATCTCTATCATATAAATGCCCCGTTAGTTTGGGGACCTTTTAGGGAAAACGAAATCTATAATTACTATTAGCAAATCTTAATATTCTCCAAAATAACAATCTAATATAATTAAATTGAAAATAAACTCCAATTATAATCAAACACGAGTCGTATGGTAAAAACACAGAGGCCTTTTTAAACAAAAGACATTAATTCAAATACCAGACCTGAAAGTAGAGCATAAATATACAATCATTTACATAACAATGTGGTCTGCTCTAATACAAAATAACATGACAGAATATTAGAATAACAAGGAGTAAATAATAAATATATGACGTGTGAGCTTCTAAGTTTTGTCACTGTGCAGCAGCACCAGACTCAGTAGTACAGTTACAATGAGAAAAGCTGGAGATGGATGCCTCCCCTGGGTCAGTGTTCCCATTAAACCGTTCGCATGGAGCAGACCCAAAGTGTGGCAGAAAAGGCCAAAAGCTTAATGTCTTATCCTGCTATCAGCTCGCGTGCTGCCTCAACTGATCCTCTCTGCACAACTGCCAAGAAAGTGCATTCTCATGAGGTCCTCTGCCTAGTTTATTGCCCTCGACTGGCTCCTGACCTTGTAGGAAAAACAAACAAAACATACATTTACAAAGAGTATTTGTGTAATGTGCCAGCTCAGCCACAACGAGGCTCAAAAGGTCAAAAGCTGACGATATCAAATGGGCTTCACGTGTCAGCCAGGTGCAAAAAAAAGGAAAAAAAAAAATCACATATGTACAGAAAAAATTGCACTTGTTAAACTGCAAGTAAGAGAAATCTCAGACGCAAACTGCTGCGTGAGTGAACACTGGGCACTGTGCTAAACCCCCGTCTCCCCTGGACCGCTGTGACCTCATCTTATTAATGTTCCTCCCTGCAAAAAAATACAGGTCTTTCAACCACACGAGGATCCCTGAAAATTACGTCTTGAACACAACCACATGTATCACGTGTAAACTAAGCCGTATTTACACGCCTTACAACAGTGCAGGTCTTCCGAACGCGTCAGAAAGCACTTCTAATCTAGGTGAACGCATGTTAACAGTGATTATACAAAGATCATAGTATATTGCGTGGTACAATAAATCTGTAAAACTTGAGATTATTCAGAGAGTGCGTGAGACGGGTGTTCTCGGAAGCCTTTTTGACAGGAGGGTGAAGACCCGGTGCTTGATTTCCAGTCTTTGGAGCAGCTCTCAGCCGCTTTGTGTCCAGTCAAAATTTGTGCTTTTCAATTCAACTTAACGTGACCGGTGTGTGCCTGGCTCAGACAGCAGGGTGAGGAGGAGGAGTGTAAGCGTGCGTCAGGAGGGGTCTAGGTTGTGTGTCCTTGTGGTTAAGACAACTTGTTTGGTGTTACTTCCTTTCAGGAGGCAGTGAGTAACAGTGATTAACTGCAGTTTAAGTGAAAACGTTTGTTGTTGCTAGAAAGCAGATCGATGAACAGATTAGTCGTTAACGGCCCTGTGAGGTGTGCTGTGTGGGTTGAGCTAAGGAGGCGAGTGCTGTCCTCAGAGGTCCGGGTGCAGTCCTTTTATCTTTTCAGTGATGGCTCAGAAGGCAGTGGTGACGGTGTTTCCTCGCCGTGTGCCCAGACGGATCATCTCCCCCGGCACAGTGTCCAGCTGCTCGTACGCCAGGCGCCCCTCCTCACCTGCAAGCAGCAAAAAGAGATTATTAGAAATAATGTGTCCATAGTCACCTTTCACGTAACTACTGAAGGGGAGAACGGGGAAAAGCTACAATTTGCTGATGGTACACAAACGCCTCATGCGCAGTTAATTAAAAAGTGAATGTTTTGCAGAGAGGACAGTTTTACAGATACATTCACTAAGTGTGTGTGGGACTGTCACAGATTGTCTAACTTTCACAAAGACTGTTTCACACAATGTTCACTGAAATGGCATCAAACTCGGCGCTGAACTTACTGGTGTCTCCAGCAAGATGCCTGCATATTTTGCTGGGAATTGGGTAAAACTGGTTGACAAGGGTTAAGAATGAAACTTTGGACGAAGGCCAGAAGGAGCAACAGAATCTTCTAAAAATATTAGTGAGAATAAATCACTTGGCAAATGAAAGGTCGCTGGTTTGAATTTGCGTCAGGAAGGGCTTTGCCAAACCAAACGTGCAGCGTTGCCTGCTGAGGCGATCTCTTGTGGTGAAGGAGCAGCTAAAAGTAGCTTCTGTTAGTAATGACCACCTACTTCTCAGATGGCAGCATTCGTTTCCCCACAATCAAGATTATGGCAGAAAGAAGGCAACGGAAGGACGTAGCAAATTGACAAAAGAAAATATAAGAGTCTGCATGCTGAGTTAAAACCCTCAGCGTTTGAGAAAAGTTGCCTTCAATGTAAGATTTTAAAGCGTCTGCAGAGAAAGTGTTGAAGCTCAAACATCTGCTCCAGAAAACAAGCAAGAGAAAACGTGTTTTTTCTTGGAAAAAACACTGCAATTAAACACATCTTAATAGCACTATAGTGTTTAAATGACCTCATGGCAGTTGTGTATAAAATGCAGTGGATTTGTTACGCACCGAACGTGAGCAGGGTTTCTATGGCCACGTGACGCAGCTCTTCGTCGGCTGAATCGCACAGCGCTACCACTGCTCTGATGCTCTCGACTGCCTGCGCACACAAACAAGACAAAAATGTAAAAATCCAAAGGACATGTTTCTCTTTATTGCATAAAACTGCTGTTTGCACAGTTTAGTAAACAACTACTGACCTCCAGACAGCTGAGAGCTGAGCAGGCTGCCCTCTGACTCTGTACTCCAGCCTCCGACAGTGCCTGGGTGTAGCACTCCACTGCCTGCAGACACATAAACAACCATTAAAAATGTGGCTCAAAAGGCAGAAATGGTGCGCCTACAGTTTTTTCTTGAGCATTACTCACCCTGGTCCTGAAGTGCTTGTTTGACGCTCCAGAAGAGAGGTAGTCGGCGGCTGCCTTGTTGACCTGAGGGTCCTCTGCAGTGAGGAGGGATGCCAGGGCCCTTAGGGTTCTGCTTCCAGGCCAGAGAGATGACAAAGGCACCTCCTCCAGTTCTGCGAGACAGCGAGGATAGTCTCCGCTGCACAGGACCTCCGCAAACACCTCTGAGGAGGAAGCCAACGCAGACACACGCAGATTAAACCAAGGACAGGGCCAGCTGTAACACTCACAGGCCTCATCTACACACAAACTTCCTTTCTACTAAATCCTGATTAGAGGTGAGGTGATCGATCCAGATACATCGATGCAAACGCTGGTATTACTATTGGATTGATACTAGCATGATAGCATCAATACTGTTGGCAGTCACGTCAATTTTATTTATAGCCTATAGCACATTAACTAATTATTGTGGAAAGCAAAGGTCACGGTGATTTAGCTCAGAATTTGCAAATTGCTGAGGATTCATCTCATAAATCATGAAACGCTGCTCTTCCCCATGTTGTGGATAAAGCATCAAAATGTTAGCTCTAATATTTGGATTAACTTGGAGAAATCTTGGACTTGCACAGGTGGCCGTATATGCCATGTAGCACAAAATATCCTCATTTTGCGACTTAGGTTAAGAAAATAATTCGATTATTACAGGACGCAGCCAACAACAGAGGAATTCGTGTCATGATGTAAGCATCACAGCTTTTGCGCACCCTCTCTGGCCAGGTGCAGCAGGTGCGTCTCCATGTCCTGGACTTCATGTTGTAAGATGTAGCTGTAGAACTGAAACACAGTCAGGACGTCCTGAGAGAGCGCAGCAGCGGGAGGACTCTGTGCCGCCAACAGGTCGCTCCTGTCCACCATCTCACCCACTACCATGCTAATCGCTGGAGAGAAGAGAAGAGATCAGTGCATTGTTCCAAGATAACTGCATAACATTATTTAGTTTCAGCTATACAACAAAAACCAAAGAAAACAAAATCACAATGCCGTGTTCACACAGCCTGCAGTCACAGTTTACTTCATAACATAAACCAGTTTGTTTCTATCCATTTTCATCAGCTGCATTATATTCTCAGTTAAATGCAGATGTCTCGTTTCCCCCTCAGGAGCACATTAAAACCTGTTTACACCCTGAATACGCGAGTCAGTTGAAGCCCTGACTGAAGATGAAATTTTAAGTATAACCCGTGGTCTGTTTGCAGAAACAAAGAAGGGACGAGCGAACCTGTATCGGCGCCGTGTGGGCGGTTCTCCTGCAGCACCGCCGTGTAGCGCTGATTCATGTGTTTGAACACTCTGTCCAGCGTGGTGTGGAAAAGTCCCTCAGAGCCGCTGCACTCTGACCACAGAGTCATCAGCTGGGGGCGCTCCACGAGGCCCGGGAGGACTGAGGAAAACAGGGCAGAGCACAAACCCTCAAACCTCCTTCATGCACCGTAACGATTTGTTTTGCTGCTTTAAAGTATAAGACGTATGTTGTTCTTTGGGATAAGTTTCCAGATTATGCAAAAACTACAGAGCCAACCTTGGAGGGGTGAAGCATGAGAAAAAAAAAGGAAAAATGGAGGAAATCTGGTCTACGTGTTTAGATACCCACCATCAGCAGCAGATGTTATTGCTCCCAGTTTGTCCACGCTGATCTCTGCTAACTCCTCTAGCAGCTGGGTCTGTCCTGACAATTTGAGGAGGACACTGCGACGCTGCCAGACACTGACCCCACTGGTCAACATCTGCCATGTTACCAAGAAAAAATGAAAACATGTCAGATGCTAAAATTTCCAGAAGGTAGCTGGTGTTTTACTTAAGCAGGATGAATGGTAATTATGATATGAACTATCAGAAGGAGCTCTACCTGTATGAGGTGAATGCAGTACTGAAGGTGGATGACAATAGCCACGTCCAGATTCTCATTTCCAGTGGTAAGTGGGAGGGGGCTTCCTGCCACACTGTTGCCCACCCCGGTGTCCTCTGTCAGGGCTTCGCTCAGGTGTCCTCTGGCTTCTGGATGCTGAGCCCTGAGCAGCAACATACAAGAGTCACCACCGAGGGGCAGCGGTAACACACCGACTGTACGTGTAGTGAGTTTGTTTTTAAAGAGTCCAGTCGTTCTAAGAATCCTAAGAATTAAACTCTTCATTTGCTGCCAAGCACTTCAAAGTTCTCACAAAAGTTTTTGGTATGGCACCTTAAAAAAAACTGCATGTGTATATATAAATAAATGAAACTGTAATGTTTTAGCCAATGCAAAATATTACACTCACCCGATCCTCTCTCCATCTGCATCAAAGATCGGAGACCTCTGTGGGGGAATGCTGATGACGGCGTTATCGTCTCCGGTATCATCATCGTCAAAGTCAGAGGTGTTGAGGAAGTCAAAGCTCTCCAGGGCACTCTCCACAGTCAGACTGAGGCTAGAGGATCGACTCCTGTGACCCGGGAGACGGCACTGGGGGGAAAAGACAGGATGATGGGCATCCAAAGAGTATAAAAACAAGACAATAAAGTTTAAATGAACCCTAGGATGGCAGTTTCTCTGAAAATTTTAGTGCACAAGAGGTTCTGTAGATGTTAATGAGATGGAGTTTACCTTCAGTAGGTCTTCCAGACGCATCACTTCCTGCTCCAGGTCCTGCAGCTCTCTGCAGCGATGAGTCAGCGACTCTAATCTGGTAAGCAGGCTGTGGATGGCCTCCTCCAGGCTGCTCTCCAGGAAAGCCCTGCTTCCCTCTCCCGCCCAGCTCAGACTTCCCTCACCCTCAGCAGCGCTCCCACTGGGCGGCATCATTTCTGAGGAAGTCAGCCTCTTCACGAGCTGCTTTGTCAGGCTGCCCGCCTCCTCTGTGTCCAGTTCCACAGGTTTCAGCTCATCGGCGTGATCCAGGAAGACATCCTCGGGAGCCACTGCGGACAGCTGTCCATCTGAACACAAGGACGGGGCAGCTGAACCACAGTTGGAGCTAGAATTACGCTGAGACTCTGTGCGCTCCCACTCAGAGTCTTCGGCCGCTTCGGCTTCATCGCTGGCAATGCTGGCACTGTTCCTGCTGCCCCTGCTTCCTCTACTGCCCGTCTCCCCATCCTCCTCATACTCTTCCTCCTCCTCTTCCTCCACTAAATGCTCCTCTGCGATGGAGTCCTCCCTAGTTGGGAAGATTTGCGTAGGTAATGGTTCTGTTTCTGGAGGAGTTACAGTAATCTCAGGGTTGGACTGGCCCGGGGAGTAGGAGCTCAGGGCAGGGCTGGGGCTGGGCGTAGAACCAGACGTATCAGAGAAGGTGAAGGACAGACGCTTGCACTCAGCCACACCGCAGCCGCCGTTCTCGAAGACATCGTCGGGCAGTGTGGACTGAAAATAGAGACAGGAGAATAAATCTGTGCTGCAAACAAGATAAAGGACTGAGATCTGGCTGAAATCAGTGAATGAAGGACAGAAAAGTGCAGAAGAAAGCTCCTCTTGTTTTCCAAGATAGAAAAAGCGACGGCACACTATACTGATACTATACTTGTGATCAGATCTGAACCCAAATTGAACAGTGAGGTAAATATAAACAGAAAACATAGGAACAGCTTAACGAACATGCAAACAGACGTGCAAAGAGCCACATATGGCGTTCTGTAGTCCTTAAACAAAGGGACAAGGTGAACCCAAGTGTGTCCACAAGAGCAGAGAACTACATCCCCATCATGTCAGTGGGGGTAAGAGGGCACACAGAGTCTGGTTAGGAGGGTCACAGGGGCCACAACACACTCACATAAACCTCCAGACTGGATTTGGGCCTTGGCCGCAGTGAGGCCAGGTCACCAAACGAACGACTGCGCCTTAGCTTCTCTAGCAGGGTGTCTCGGAGCATGTGCAGGAAGGAGAAGCGCTGGCGCTCCACGGGGTAGGGCTGCCACTTCTTTACACAGTAAAGGCAGGGAAATAAGACAGGGTGTTGGGTATTTGAGGGCAGGTGGGTGAAATGTAGGATATACAAGATGGGGGCAGAGTGTGGGTATAATGGGAATATACAAAGAAAAGGAGGGAAACGGGCGAGGGTTAGTTTAAGGGTGGTGCCTGCACGGCTTAAGCATCAACTGAAAAAATAACATGGGGCATGATTTACATCACGGTGCAGACAGTGCATGGGTTAGTTGTTATGGATCACAGAATATGCTAACAACTTGCTTGACTCACAAAAAAGGAGGTGTCCTGGAAGGTGGGGGTCTCCGGTGTGCCCTGGCTGTAGACGGACACTCGTCTCTGGAGAGCTGCAGCTTTGCTCACATTGCCAGACGACAGAGTCAGGTCCTCCACGTCGAAGGGGCTGGAGAGGAGGATAAAAAAAGACAAAGCTCTTGATGACACTGCTTACATTTGGTTTCAAAAACCTACAAATGGGCAGCCCTAAAAATGTGGTGTAAACAACCACAAAGATTCACTGTGATGCAGTCACTCAAGCCACTTCCTGAGGTGGTCTGTTGCAGTGTAAACAACAATATTTCATGATGGGTTTTCAACAAGGGCTGGTAAAAACATCATTGATGAGGTGCTCCTTTTTGAAAATCAGTACTGAAACATTTGGTGCTGGCACTGGAGCTGTGTTTGGAGACCTCTGACCACAGGTGTGCACAGCAAGGCATCTCGGTTGTGTAAAATCAAAGTATGAAGTGGGTGTTACTATGATGTTTCACCAGCAGATGGCAGGACCCCACAAGGCATGCAGACCCCGACTTTAATGCTGTGACACTAACAACCGTTGTAGATGTTCCAAACATATGGCCGGTCCAGCAACAAGACTAAAATAGTTCTGGACTACCTCTGAACAATCCAGCTACCCAGCAGTGATACCATCTGGCAGCTGCCAACTCATTATGTACCCTAATTCGTGCAACACCGGTTAGATTCAGCGAGCTTCTACTTACTACCATGTGACTTCCAGGTTGAGTTTGATGGTCCCGAGGTCGTTGACGTCCACAGCCACCACCTGAGGCACGGCAGTGAATAGCTCCTTGGTCTCACAGATGACGCTGCCCACCAGCATGTGTGTGGCCAAACCCTTCAGCTCCGTCACCTGATGGGCACAAACTTATGTTTGTTTCTCATTTCAGTGCCACAGCGCAACGTGTTAGACACGAGGCTATCTGGGTTTGTACAGACCTTGATGTTAATAAGGTCAGTAATGAGGGGCATGAAGACCATCTCGTCTCCATCCCAGCTTTGCCTGGAGTTTACTTCAATCCTCCCCTTCAGCTTCCACCGCTGGCGACCGTAACGCATGAAGATCTAAAGGAAGGAGCAAAAAAAAAAAATTTAAAAATTTAACCACATAACTTTATAATAATAACAACGGTTGTTAGTGTCACAGCATTATAATAAGCTAATTTTTTTTAACTCCTCACTGTTTGTCTCACTAAACCAACCAGCTAAGTGCTAACTTTGGAGCTGGGTGGAGTGTACAGTGGTGTTTCACTGAAAGATGGCCAAAGCTGTTGCTACATAAATATCATTACAGCGGTTTCAAGCTGAAAGAGTCACTTGTGTCTATCTGTCTCAATCCTGTTAAAAGTAGACCCAAGAGTCAGCAGTTAGGGCAAAGAAAATAAACTTGCCTCATATTGGTCTCCAGGACAGAGTCGAGCAAATCCTGCCAAACCTGTCAGATAGAAGTGACAGATATTTATATTATGCACAAAGAGGAGAGAAAAAAAACATCATTTTGGGGGGGGGTTACAATGACTTAAGCAACGTTAGCTCACTTTCTTATTCAGAATGAATTATTGCACAATGAGACAAGCTGCTTTTAACTGTCAAGCATATTTTTGTCATGACTTTTCAGGGATTCAGGGTTTCTAACTTGGTCCATGAGTGAGAAATCTTAGGATTTTTGCTCCAATGAATATAAAATCATCACCAAAACATCTGGATTCTAAATAATCCCAGTGTGTAAATGACTAAACTTGCATTAACTTCTCATGTAAATCATTCACGTCCCACCTTTCATTTTGATATGAAACTCCCCGAGCAGGTTCTCCAGTTCGCTCTCAAATGCGCTCATGTTCTGGAGGACGGAACGAGAGAGATAAGACTCATCACACAAACGGCCCTCACAAAAACGAGAACAACAACAGTAATCAAGTTATCTCTGCAGGCTCTGACAAAGCCGGTCAACACCAAACTACAGAGGAGACGGGAGGGCGGGTCTAAGCCCTCGGCACAGGTGGCGACAGGTGCGCTTGTTATTGAGATTTAAAGGTAAGTATCTGGCTTTGCAGGTTAGTATTTACAAATCCCTGTAAGCAGTAATCTGTATCATATACTTAGAGTGGGTGCTGTCAGACGTGACTACGTTTAATGCGCCCTGTTCTGCGTTTATATATAATCTGCAAATATCTCTGTTTAAATGTCATAATAATTATTGTAACCCTACAATTACAGTTACTTTTTACAGCTCCATTCGCTTTACAGGACTAAGAGTCTGCAGCTGACAGCTCTGAGTACCTCGGTGTATTCCTTGTACCGACGATTAACCTCCGCGATACTCTCTTTGGTGCCTTTGGTGGAGGGCGAGGACGAAAAGGCCTGCTTCATCCGGATGGCACCCTCTCTGAGACGGCTCTGGATGCAGAAGGCCTCGTATAGCTCATCCACCTGCACACACACACACACAGAGTCCCCTCCATCTTTAATCGGCCCTCACGAATTTGTAGGCGGGGTAACACACACGAGACAGAAACTTGTGCAGTTATGAAATAAAGTTATAAACTTCCATATACATGAAAACATCCCCGGGCAAGGAGCAAATTCCCAAAAACTTCCAACTGCCATGTGAATTTTTCTGTGTTTGCTTCCCACTGGGTTTCATTCACGGATGGCACAGCTTCAGGCTTGTGCAATGAGAGCAGAAATAAGCACAGACATGATTAACTTTTGCTTTACACTTTATTTCAGATACACATCTGATCACATGGTCAATAAGACTGTACAGGAAGTCCAAAACAGAAAAGGCCTGCAGAAGTAAACACAGTAAAAGGCTGACATTGCACACACAGACAGAAAGACAGTCATCAAGACCGACAGGAGAGACAAATGGATAAACTAAGAATGGATAAAAATGTCCTGAAGTAAGCTGGCACATGCAGCTGCTGTATATCTGTGTAACTCTAACCCGACGCCTGCACTGTCCCAGTCTGCGAGCCCAGTGGGACACTCCCACGGCGAGGCAGCAACAGACGGGGTTTAGAGCTCATTTGTCTGCCCGACTGCAGTTTGCAGCACTAGCCTGACCTAACCCAAACCCGTAGGGAGAGGGAACGACTCCATCAACATCCTGCTGTCTCAGTGTGAGCTAAAATGTCAGCGTTTCAGCTGAAATCAAATCACGATGATGCTGAAGAAAAAAGCTCAGCTCAACAGACAGAAATGCACTCCGCCGTGAAGCCACAGGCACAGCAGATTTAAATGATTTTATTATGAGCAAAGCTTTGGTAATGAAGTCATTATAATTCTTTATAATAACGCTGTTTCAAACGTTTTTAATTGTTTCACATTTCCAAACACAAGTGCTCCTTAACCAACCCTACTCTTTAAAAATCAAGTTCTCCTCATCAATATTTGTATTTCCTAAATTTTTCACATACTTCATTAAAATTCAAACATTTAAAAGGCTCCAGAAACAGACACGAGTCATTATGAAACAACACTGAGCTGTAATCCCAGCACTTTTTGAGGATGCGGTTGACTCACTCAGAGCCATTGTACCAACAACAACATTTAGCAGCGGTCCAGATTTTTAGCGTCCTGTCCTTTGAATCTTTTGGCTTATTTTGAACTAAAATTCACATGTGATGAAGCGGCAGGCGAGCAAAAAACAAAACACCTCTGGTGAGCCTCATCAAAGGGAAATATCTCCGGCCGCCTGACGAGAGCGCTGAAATATTGATGCCTCGCGCTCTTTATGGCACTCATTAGGGAGAAGCAGGAGAAAATGGGCTATTCTGGCTCCTGTCGTCCCAACAGCTTATCTAACTGTTTGTTTGTGTATCTTTTGTGCATCAGCCGAACGCTGCCAGCCTGTTTGTGAGTGCAGACTTTTTGCACGCGCCGACGTGCTGACATGTGCATGGAGAGCGAGTTTTTGCAAGCGGTGGGTGGGCAAAGGAGTGCTTCTAATAAAAAAAGAGTGAAAGTGGTTTGCGGTGGGATGGATATTAGAGTGTGTAACTCTTTTTGACACACACATACACACAAACCCACCCACTCCACCTTATACCAACTAAGCCTTCACCACCCCCCACCCTCAACCGGGACCCAGCCCGTCTGTCTGTCTGTCTGTGGTATGTGATGTATGTGGCGGGGCGGCAGCAGCTGAGCTGAGCCGGCTGGAAAACAATTTCAAACCTCAACTGTTATTCTCAGCACTCGGAGAAAATAACGTTTTTTGTTTATGATGAAGGGGAAAAACACAAAACGTGTTTTTGTGCATGATCCAAGGAAACTTTTTACACCTCACATAAATAAAGAGACGACTACAACGAGGTATTCATTGCCTAATGAAAAGCCATCATTCTTTAGAGGCAATCAGCGGCCGTATCATATTATCAGCTTAATGGTGCCAATTTTTGTCCCCAATTACAAAAAAGCCCTTTGCTGCCTTCGAGGAAACGTCCTTTTGAAGGTCAGCCAGGCTCCTCCACTCCAGAGGGTGGCCGTCAGCATATTGCTGAGCCTTGGGCACATTTCAGCCCAGAGGAAAAAAAACAAAGAAACATGAAAGGCAAAACACAAAGAAACAAGAGTAACCTCAGCACAGGAGGAAGGAGAGGACTGCACCCGGCAGAAGCGTTGATGCTCTTTTGGACGCGCATACACACAGACAGACGGACATGTGTTATACATCCTGATAGCAGCTCCTGTGGAGATCTCCCCGCCTTTCTGCCCTTTGTCTCCATCGGTTATGTATCATTCAAGAACCGTAAAATAAATAACTAAAATAAAAAAATAAATTAAAAAAAAGAATACATCTGAAACATTACATGGTTGTAATTTTGACAAAGGCAGAAAATATACAAAAAATTGTAAAAAAAAAAATCAAAACAAAACACTACATCAATTTTCTTTTAATGGAAGCTTCCCTAAATATTAAAAATCAATTTTTTCCCCACTGTGGATCAACAAAGAAAAACAATCTGCAGATTTCTCAGGAATAAAAATAATCTTTTGGAAATGTTACACCAATGCTAATAACAGTAATTTTAACATTAATTAAAATAAGAATATAAAATATGAACATTTAAAGCACTTCTTTAATCACAGGAAGACTACTGTTTAACAGGCCGCCCGTAAAGACCATCTGAACCTTTTTAAATCACCTCTCTACAGAGACATTAAATGGAAATGTATTCTAAATTAAGTCCTCTATTGGACTGTGCTAATTGCAGCTCGCTACGATGACAAATAACCTGCACGGCTCAGAGACCGAGGGATTATTGGAATTATTGGGGAATCAGTTATGCTCAGAGTGAGCACGATATTGCATATTTATGTATTTGGTGTAAAATAAAAAAATTTTGCATTTTGAAACCATTTTGAATGCATCCCTTCCTAAAATGCTCCTAATAACATTTTCTTGGTAGTTTGAAAGGCAGCTGTGATTAAGAATCGCTGAACGTTTTAAAGGATTATCTCACTATCATCAGTGCGTATGATTTAAAAACGTGGGGTTTTAGATATTAGCAGTGAATCTTTCAGATATGGCAGCAATCCTCTTAAGATATGGCCATTATTCTGGATCATAGATGGCGCCTCGCGCACGTGCACACACTTTGTGCCGGGGGACCAGTGATTATAAGCAGATTAAAACAGGCGGGCCACACCAAACAGCTTCAAACACACATGAAGCTCTCTGGGGAGCTGTGGGTGTGTGTGTGTGTGTGCGCGCGTGCCAGTGGCAAGATTAGCATTCAAGGGAAGTGGGGAAAGCAGAAAATGCCCTATATTACAAATAATCACATGTAAAGCATGCACACTCATTCTGGATTGAATTTGGCACGTGTTTAACACACACGCGCTCTCTCAGGGGAAGAGGAGACGTCTGGCAGACGATCGTCTCACCTTCAGTCTATTTAATGATGCCCCGCTGATACCAGCGGTCAACACCCACCCCCCCAAACACCCCCCCCCACACCCCCACACACAGATATATATAGTCTCTGTCCCATGCAGGACATCATACGGGTTGTATCGTGCCACCTGCTTCCTCCATGTGTGCCAATTACTACTCAGACATCTGCAGGCAGCGCAGGAACAAAAGAGCAGAGCTGATGTGACTCACAAACTAACAACTTGCTGATGGATGATTGTTAAGTCATCCCTCACGGCAGCTGTCCTACACAAAGAGACACGCCTGAGCCTGAGCAAAAACACTGACAAACATGTTCACGCTTACTGTAGCTCAGCTGCTGAAACGCCATTTCTTTCGCTTTTTTTCCCCACTCGCAGTGTCTTTGCTGAACAATGTTTTGTTTACACATGCACTGACCAATCACGTACATGTGTTTAAGACATGCGGAGTAGTCCAGATGAGTTTATTGTTCCCCATCCTATATGTTGCTTTTAGTTCTGAAGTCCTCATCTGTCCCTTTTGGTGCAAAAAAATAGAAAGAAAAAAAAAACTAATCAGCATCAGCTGCCTGATAAAAAAAATGCATACTTCCTGTTTGCCCTGTCCTACATACTGTCGATTTGTTTGGACCATAACCAGCGTGTTATAAGCCTTCTAATGCAATCATACAAGTCACACGTCCCTCAGACTTTATGTCCTTACCACTACAGCTACTTATGGTTACTGATGCGTAGTTTAAGTCAGTCTGTGTGATGCTGAAGTTGTTTCTACATTATATTTTCACACATTCTGCCCAGTGTCAGGAAAAATCAGGTCGGGACATTGGCCAAAGATGCCCTTGAACACATGTAGCACACAGCAGGTGACAGTCCCCTGCAGACATGTATGTTAGTCTGGGTACAGTGGGTAGCAGCACACATGGCGCCCAGTGAACCAGATATTTGTGCTCTCACATGCACCTCTGTGAAAGTGAGTGATGATTAAAGAAAGTTTGGGCTGAAAATGACTTTTCTTTTCCAAACTCACCGGCCACTCCATTAGAAACACCTGGTCAGCTGCTTGTTGATGCAAGTATCTAATCAGCCAATCACATGGATCAAGAGGATGTTTTCTCTGGACACTTTGGGCCCTTTAATACCAACTGTATTACTTTTAATTAGAAGAGAAACTAGCATCTGATTAATTTAAAAATAAAGACAAACCATTTGTCAAGTCACAAGTTTGAGTCTTTTCTTTAAACTATTTTATCTCTGATAAGCTACACAAAGTCAGATAGTGAGTATAAATAAAAACTGATTGAGTATTAGGCTTAATTTTAGTTACGCTTCAGCTTTTGAGGTTTTTTTACATGGCACGATAAATCAGACACTTCACTGCTATTTCAAATATTTACCCTTTCATTCAAATCTATTTTTGCATGAAGCCTGAAAGAACAGAAGAGCTTAAGAATAACGCTAAGCAGTACGTGTTTGTTTAACATCATCCGTCACAAGACAGAACAAGCGCCGACTTCTTTTATCTCTCTTATCAAAGTCAAAGTGGAGCAAGCTGCAGATACACTTCCTGAGTTCCCTCTCATTTTTCCCCCCCATCTTTGAGGGCCATGTCAATCGCTCCTTGCTGCAAACTGCCCTGACCCAGATTCCCTGTCGCCTTCATCCCCGCAGAATCGCAGTCACGCTGCTGTGTTGTTGTTTACCTGTGTATGCTTTTGGGACAAATGTTCTGAAGGTGGGTTTTGTAGTCGAGATGCATGTGAACATAAAGGGTTAACGCCACCCAACAGACGGCCCCATCGAGCTCATCGGGACTTCAAAGGCTCTGTCTCCGGGTAACCATGGTTACCTTTGGAGCTGCGCTGTTGTTTGGGCGTGTGTGCTCTGATTGCCTGCTGTCACATCTGATTTGACGCACAGCGAGGAAGACCATTAAAGCTCTACAAAAGGCGATGTGGAAGAAAAGTCAAAACCTTGTAGGGGATTAATGTCCCCAAATGGCAACCTGTGAGGTGACTACAAAGAGGATGCAGGGGGCCAAAAATCCCTACCTGGCAACCTCAGAAAGGATGTTTTTACCTCAACCATGGAAACAGCTGGAAACTTCCCTAATATATAAACAGATTAGAAGAGCAGGAATGCTAAGCTAATGCCTGGCAGCAAAAAAGCAGGTGAAGTTACGCCTAAAACTGCAGCTTCACTCAATAAACTCAACGTGAAACCGGTGGAAAGAAAAGTTGTGAGAACAACAAACATTTTAAGAAATCTGTCTGTCTGTTTGTTTTTGTTAAGAGTTACGCTTCAGTCACAAAGGCCTGAGAAATATCAGTCCCATCCTGTGAGCCAAAGGTTGATAAAAAGCGGTGTATTCTCTAATCGGTTGGCGAGTCGTTGCTGGAGGTTGCTGGGTGAAATTGGTCACAAAGAGCTGCTGAGATTTTGTAGATGCAACACCACTAACTGTGTGTCATTAACATCACGCTCACTGTGACAATATAGGAAGTATTGAAAAAGGCACCATTTACCAAGCCCTAGAAACTGGTCTGCGACCATTATGCAATCCTTGGTCATAAGGCAAACTACAGGCAACTGTAGCTAGCAACCAAAGCACCCAATATGGCAGGCTGCTCTTGAGCAATGTGTGCATGAGAAACCTCGACATAGTGTTGCACCAAAAATCTCTTTGCAATTGCTTTGGTTGACAGCAGATTGCTGTGGTCACTCATAGTTTGCATTGAACTTGCATGCAAACAAACTACTTTCCGAGTGGTGCTGAAAACAGGAAAAATGTGACAACAATAGCCTTCAAAGTAAAACTTTGAAACATTTTAGCTTTAGTGGTGAAGCACAGCTTTCATTCTGAAGGCAAACATTCTCCGTTTCCAGTTTGCATCACGTTTTTTTTACTAGATTTACCAAGTGCACGCAAACTGTGTGCGACCATGACAACCAAACTTTGTCCATAGATAACAATTTCCACCTAGAATCAACATCTAAACATGTATCAAACTCTCTCTTGTGTGTAAATCCATAGTAAAAATGGGCCCTTAATAGTTCCTCTGATTTCTGTGTTTATGCTAGTGCTGTGCAGGTAGCTGGCTTTCTGTCATGATCAACAGCTACTTTCACACTTTAGTCTTTGCACAGCTCAAAAAACAAAACAAAACAAAACAACGCAAGATGTCATTTTTCTGAGCTTTTCATGTGATGGTAGGTAGGTGTTACCTTTGAACAGCCAACTCGCTGAGTGCTACAGTTAATACCGCACCGATACGGTTTCAAACCAATAAAATAGATGCATTTAAAACTATCAAACATTTACTTAGAAACAGGTAAAAATATGCATCAGCACTCTGTTTCCTGGGTGAATGCTTGGATGGGATGAGGCCTTAAATACCGGTTTCAGACTTAAAATAAGCTCTTAATCAAATGCCCCACGGACTTACATTAAAAAGTCCAACCGAAGACTCCCATATAGATCGCCTCAAATACTTTCTTTGGTTTAGAGACTGACAAAACAATAAATATGGCTGTAAAGAAATCCGAACAGCCTTACCTTGCTAATATGAAACTCCAGACGTCTCATGTACCTCTCGATAGTTTTGATTTGCTGTAGAAAGACAGTGCAAAAATTTACAGGTCAGAATTTGGCTTCATCTGTTTTTTGTTTGCACCACAGATTATAACAAGGTAATACTTACATATTATACAGCAAAATGTGCAGAAAATACAATGTTCTGTGCAAATATGTTATTATAAGATTCACACGATAAACTCCAAACTTGAGCGTGTGTTACAGTAGCCCCTCCCCTCCCATCATCTTACCTTGTCAAGATCATACAGCACTCCCTGGAGAGAAAACACACGCAGACACACACATGAAATTACAGAGTTACTAAAAGGTAGGGCAGCTTATCCAAGATCACATTTATCTGCCATCAGGAAGAAACAGTTTTTCCTGTGTGCACACATCAGGCAGCCACGATGGCATAAACAATGAAAAATATTTCCATGTGTGCGTTCATTAGTTTAAAAAAATTGATGTAATATATGTGAATTTTTCATTTTCTTTATAAAGCATTTTTGGCTTAAGCTGTGAGTCACACAGGCTGTAAACATTACGAGGAACGATGTAAGTTAATGCAGAGTAACTTCTCACCAAGCGGGAGTTTCTCTTCATGTCCTTCATCAGACCTGTGAGTTTGTCCAGCTCCGTCTGATGAACCTCCAGATATTCACTTCACAGGGGAAACAGAGAAACACTTCAGTCTTTGCATAATACAATGAATTTAATTAAAACACGACTGCAGAAGTTCAGACGCTCACTAACGTTACGTTCACCGCTACAAATTCACTTAATGACACCAAAGAATACATGTGGAACATAAACATCGACAGAGGTCTGTTAATGCATTCAGAGGCAAACGTCAACAAGCTCAAACAGGCTGTAAATGCACAAACTAAAGCTTCTGGTAATTACCCAGTAAGCCCCTATACCAGGAAAACTCACTGCATAAACATTCTTTATATACAGTTCATGACAAGACCAGACTCCATCCATTATAAAAACACAACCATCAACATTTTTTTTAAGGCCAGAAAGAGTGACACATGCACCGTGTGGGAAATGTAAGCAGCACTTCTGTAATACTATCTGTTTAATCAATCTGTAGTCAAGAACAACACGGTGCTTATTGTACTTACTGACTATCTGCTATATGGCTTCTATATATCTACTAACTTTAAAAGGTCTGGCATTAAACATAGAAAGGCTTCTTGTGTTTCAGAATTTGTGTCAAGTATCTAATCTAGAGGCTTTTTTTTTCTTTTTATATTTTCAAGTCGAAACTCTGAAAAACATAGCCTGGGTTGAGCATTTATCCATGGAAAGTTACAGCTTGTCCACAGCTGTCCAATGAAAAAAAAAAAAAAAAAGAATGGAGCATTTCAAGGTACTCTGGAAGACTTCATAGTGTGTACTGTAAGTGAATTTGCTTCATATTAACTACTTAATTGTGTGCATAGAACAAGTGGATGAGTTACTCACTCCAGGCCTTGTTTGAGTGCTGTGTAAACCTCCTCCAGTCTCTTGGGCTGCGGCTCTCTGGAGCTGCTGCCTCCCTTGTGGCCTGACAGGTGGGGCTTCTTAGGCTTGGACTGAGGCTTCTTCTGCACTGCAGAGTTCCCCATGAATGAGTTACATCTGCACACACACAGACAAACACACACACACACACACACACACACACGGGATAAGTTACCGTTTGCTGATTGTGCCTCACAAGAATTTCCTAAATCTCATCGCACAGGCCCAAAGGCGCCACCTTCCATATTATATTTATCTAATATTTATCACAGGATCTCTGCAGCACTTCAAGTGTCAGGCCACCAGCTGCCAATAAAAGCAAGGAGTTATATTTCTAGATTATTTACACCATCCTGAACACGTCCTTGGGCCAGTTACAGCATGAGTTCATCTCATCTGTCAGATGCATTGACCTTGTTGACTCTGCTCACACCAAAATAACTCGTACATACACGCACGCATACACATTTAGATGTGACCGACGCATTTAGCCTAGATATTATTCAGACATTCAGACACAAATACAATCATACATTCTGAGCATTTAACGCGGGCGTGCAATCACATGCAAACATGTGCTTCCCCGACTCCTAGCTGCCGTTTATCCTCTGCTGGAGTGAACTTACAAACAAACAAGCAGATTTATCCTCCCAGCGATTAACGACATTCAAGTGATCTTCAGTCTCTTCCCTCAAATGACCAAATGTGTGACCGACTCAAGTGGGAGAATTGAACAAATGTGATCCAGTTACAGAGAGTTGTCATATTTGTATAAAAGGCAGTGAAATGGGCTCAGACACTTTGTGTGGAGCTTCAGCTTTCTTTCATTTTTTACCACCACACATCATTTTTTAAAGGTAATCATTTGGAGGAACAGTTTTCTGTAAACCACCAGTAGGGGTCCATTGGTGGATTATTATGTAGATATGCTCTTATTCAATTTAATTTTCCCTGATCAGACAATCGCAGTCATTACTGACATAAGGAGGAACTTGAGCAGCCTTCCAGGATTAATCCAGCAGTAAAAGACCATCTTTGAAAAGGGAGGCATTTTCAAAACATTCCTACTTTGGATGCACCGAATCGAATGGAGAAGGCCTGGTTTAAAGCTATAAACGTCTGCATTTTGTGGACTTGAAGCTAACAGATATATCAGAGATGTCAGAAATGTCCGTGTGACGTCTTTGAATGCGAATTTCGAAAAAGTTTTCATGTCCCATCCACGGTGGCCCCCGAGAGGCCAAACGGACAATAACGTGACAGCCCAGCTGCAGGAAGTGACAAACGGCAAACGGCTAACAGCAGACATGTGTCTACAGTTTTATTTAATCATGTGACTAAAACACACATTGCCTGCGTCTGTTTCTCCCTAAAAACACAGATCGGTCACATGTTTTTGTTTCTGTCACTTCCACACGCCGTCTATCGTTTTATTATGTCCCCACAAACCCTTCCAACATGTTTTGTGTGCTTCTGCGGCATTTTTGTATTTGCTGCTTTTCTTTAGTTGCTTTGCATTTGACCTCTCAGGGCCACCGTACGTAAAAATAATCAGCAACCCAAGTTGTGTGGATGTTTTGCTGACTTTCATGTTAAAGCGTGATGCTTTGAGCGTGAGCATTTTAGATCTACTAATAACAATAAATAACTAGACAAATAATCACCAGTAAAAGCTTCACAGGCTGCTGCCCTCCATCAGCCAGAGAAACCACACAGACGAAGCTTCATGTGAAGCTCCTTCGCTCATTTAAACTGTAAAATCAAATCATGATGAAGAAGAGGCCCATTAGTATTATTTCTCAGTAATTATTGTGCTTAACTGCAAGTTGTTATTATATTAGGGATAACAGATGAATATACAAATGACTGACTGTGCCACAAATGGTAGCCTTTTGTGTTTCGTGATAATTCACTGCAACCAAGCAGAGTGAAAGGAGTGCTGGGGCAGATGTTATTATATTAGAGATAGAGAGCTTAGCCCTGATTGGCTGAAAAGTCTGTATGGTTTTTCATTGACTGACCTTTGCCATAGGGGACATAACCGTATACGACAGGTTGTAGGTACAACCCTCTGTATGCATTCAGGTTGAAGCCTTTAAGAAAGATTTTTCCAGCAACCAAGGAAGGTTTCTCCCATCCACACATCCATCTGTCGCTTATCCAAGTCCAAGTATTGAGGTCAGGAGTCAAAGCAAAGACGCCCAGATCTCCCTTTCCATGGTTACATCATCCAGATTTTCCAAGGGTGACACCAAGGTGTTCCCAAATCAGCTGTATGAAATGTAATCTCTCAGGGGTCTCCTGGGTCTTGGATTAGACCAGAACACCTCACTCACAGTGGCATCCAGGAGGAATCCCAGATGCCCGAACCACCTCAACTGCCTCCGTTCGATTTGAAACAAGCTTTTGGGAACAAACTGATAAGCTGAATGTGTTTTCAGTTAGTCTTCATGGGTAAGACTTTACCATTTCTAAGCCTCATATCTGCGGCTGAAAAAAGGGGGCAGAGTTTTCTAAGTGGCAGAACCACCTCACGAGTCTCTTTCTCCTCACATTAATCCATTTTAGGTCACACTCATCTCTCCCACGCATGCACATCTCAGCTTTTAAAACCATTACGGATTTAGCAGACAAATGACATTTCCCCAGTCTTAATGAAAAGATCTGAGAGTCATTCCAGGGACGCAGCGACAACCAATTCCAGCACTAGACGAGCTGGAACGTGCCGCGTTTTGCTGTGTGCCAGCAGCGGCACAAGTGAAGCTTATAGCTGCCACAAATGTAGGGCAACACCGAACGAGAGCGCTGCATAGCCGTGGGGTCATGCGAGCTCTGGTGCAGTAGGGTTTCTTGGCAGGGACATATACAGAAGCATACATGTCAACACTTCCATACAGGAAATCATGCATAATGATGAATTTATCCTTGTGCGCGCACAAAGTGCAAATTCTCCATCATGCAAACGCGCAGAAGTGCACACAAAACTCACGCATGGACACACACATGGAAAGTCCCTTCTCAATTACAGTAACAGAGGAGCGCGCACAGACGCTGGCACACTCCAGCGGCTTCAGGAGCTATGTGCAGCTTTCCACCTCGCTCATTATCAGGATGATAACTTGTCTGTCGCTGTCAGTCGCCCACACAGCGACTCATTAGAACCAATTACTCCATTCACTGTCTGAGCAGAGAGAAAGGAGCCACTTCTCTCAGCAGGACCAGGACTGCTGAAGAAGCCCAGACACCAACAATCAGAAGTGTAAGATTATAAGAGATATGGTATATCTGAGACTGTGAGCAGGCTTTGTCTTGTGATGATGATGAGAGCGCTGTCATAGATGAGTCAAACAGGAAAGCACACAGAAGAAACTCTTATCTCTCGAGAACTTTATCCATCTCTAACTTTTCGAAACCAACCCCGGGCTATGAACGAGAATACATCATGTGACAGAGTGACGATCACTGCTTAAGAATTCGCTTCTTTCACAGGTCTCAAGACTTGCTTTGGCTCGTGGATCACCATGAAGACTGGCTCCATATCCCTGAGTCATTGAATTCCTTTTGTTGAATGAGCTCTTTTGTTTTGTCTTTTAGAAGAGATAACTAATATGATTCGTACATGGATGCGAACAGATGTACACGTCTTCTCCATGTATAGACACTAGTATGGAGACTGTATAGAGAGTTTTGTTTTTGTGGGTCTAATCTCCCTTTCACCATTTCTGTTTCCACTTGTCAAATTCCCCTTGTTATCCCCTCTCCGTCGATGATGCCGGCATCACAGACTCTTGAATGGTGCCATCTGCATGTGTAATCCTTTAGCTCAGTAAAGTTTGTCTTAATCTTTTCATTCATTTATTTTGTTTTATTGTAATTTATAAACAGTAAAACTCAAACTTTCCTTTACTAGAACATCTAACAACAATATCCAGGTGATGCTTTAGAACAGGGGTCTCCAACTCCAGGCCTCGAGGGCCGGTGTCCTGCAGGTTTTTGATCTCACCCTGAGTCTACACACCAGAATCAAATGATTAGTTCATTACCAGGCCTCTGCAGAACTTCAAGACATGTTGAGGAGGTAATTTAGCCATTTGAATCAGCTGTGTTGGATCGAGGACACATCTAAAAACTGCAGGACACTGGCCCTCGAGGCCTGGAGTTGGGGACCCCTGCTTTAGAAGTATTGAGGTACTTACTTTTTTACTGTTTATAACCTATTTATTAAATGCTGACATAGACGTACAGAAGTAGCACCATGATGTGTCATTTTCAAATCAGTCTTTTATTCACCGTGTGACCCAGATTACAGTTTTAGAAATAAGTAACTCCAGCTGATCATTGCTGAACAGCTTAGCAGAGTTCCGCTTACCGTGAGCGCCGTTCCTGTAGTGTGCTGAAACCCGCAAACGACTGGCTCCGGATTATGCCATTTGGCCCGCCGGGGGAGTGGGTTCCGGTCGCCATGATCTCCGGGACTCGTGACGACACTCCTGCAGAAAAGGCACAACATGTGTAGGATTTAGGATCGGGGTCAGTAATGCATGAAACATCGTCAACAGTGAGGTTACCTGGAGTGCCGCGAGCACAAAGAAGGCACACTTGGTGATGCTTTACATGTGCGAGCAGCACTCGGAGCCTGTGCTAACATGCCTCAACTCCTCTGACTTATTTGTCACATACCTCAACTGTTACTGTTATTCCTCAGGTGTGTGTCACAAATCATGACGTCTGTCACTTCAAATCAACTATGTGACAATAAGCAATTCATCAGACTGACAGCTGTTTAACGTCACGCAGAAGTCACTACATACGCCACACATCTGCTTCAATGGGCCATTTTTGCCTTCTAATCACCACATTTGACTGATTAATTCCACAGACAGCCCAGTGTTTGGCGTGTCTTGTCTTCCACTTCTGTAGTTAAGGCTTTTTCTTCCTTTTTTAAAATCATTGTGCCTATATTTACCAGCAGCAGTCTGTCAGCTTTTAGCCTCTCCTTAAGCCGGAGATGTGGAGTGCAACATGATTCACGTGGGCACTTGGGGAGCAAGCTGAAAATAGATGGCGAAACAGCCAAATTTAGCTGTCAGATAATGATGTAGCAGAGATCAAGCGCCCAAAGGAGGAATCCACTGAGATAACTGGATCACAGTTTCAAACAGCAGTGTGAGAATTTGTCCAGATCGCTGTGCTTCGGTGGCAGCAGGCTGACATTTAACCTCAAAGCACAGTTTAGAAAAAGTTCAAAGAATTAACCAAGGAAAGCTTCCTCATACCTCACGAAAAAGCAAAAGAAAGGAAAATAGAGGAAAGTCTTTATAGAGTGAAATCTTTTGTTTTGGTGCATCAGAGGTCAGCATGGGTCAGAACAGCTGGAAAAGGTTATAGATGTTGCAGAAAGACACCGTGATAGGATGAGAGAAGAGACTGAAATCAGGTCCTTTAAATACCAGGACATGCTTGTTAAAATCTATTCATATACTGAGATGAAAGCACCGTGTTACTCGAGCAATACCCCGCCATCTCCACAGGTGTGCAAACATATCTTCACATACTACAACGCTTTCCTGAACTTTCCTGCACACGCTGCTATTCCTTGCTTTAATGTCAACTCCCTCTGCAACATCACAAGACAAACGGCAACCTGGAACATGCCCGAGTAACAAACAACATCTCAACGTTGGTGACAATAACATGATAACTGTAAACTTTGTGTGAGTCAGAGGAGGCTCGATCTGTCTTGTTAATCTGTATTGCTTCTCGCCTAATACAGAAATGCCTGAAGGAGAAGAACAGAGAGACACATTTGTCACATCAAATTAAACTTTACTAACAAGCAGAGGAGCTTGTCTCAGTATTCAGCTCTCCTCTGCGTCTGCTTCCCCTCCTCTCACAAGCCACACAAACCATCCCCCAGGCGTACGAGTTAAAACAACTTTGCCAAATGAAAGAAAACTCTGGATTTGTGCTGCTGCTTGTAATCATACCCCACTTTTGTCCTACTGGATCCATCTTTATTTCTCCAGAGGACGTCTGTGTGGGGTGGTGGAGCAGGGCAGCACACACATTAAGCCTCTGTCTGTGGTACTACAGGCGGCCAAACTAGCAACCTGATATCAGCTCCTTTGGACTGAGGACCACACAAAGAACCAGCACGTGGTCCGAGGAAAGACTAGATCCTTGTTTTGCAGAGAAGCAACAATAATGTAGCGAGACTGATACGGCTGCGACTATTAATAGCAGCTAGCTGCCTAGAACACAGAAGACCCTGGTGGCTGTGACCGAGTAAATAGGCGATTCGGACCATTGCATAGACAGGCGTTACAATCCTAGTTTTGTCAGGATTAGTTAGAAAATATAAAATATATTTAAAATATATATCTTTACAGACAGAAGACCCAATATTTTATGTTTATTTTTATATTTTAAAAGTGGCTAAAGCCATTTTCACAATTGTACTAAAAGGTGTATAAATCAATATTTTTACATTACCAGCCGATCAAATTACTGCGTAATGTAAAACTTGCAACTCCCTTTGCAGTTCTCCTCCAACCAATGATCTGCAGACTTTTTTTGCTCACTGCTTTGAAGTTTGAGCCTGAGAACCCTCCAGAAACTTTTAAAGAATAAGTACAGCAGTGATAAACTGACTCTATACTTCTGCCCTGCACTATCATTTCGAGCAGGACTCGGGTCTTGGTGTCGAAACTATGTCTGAACATCAGATACCCCCTTCGCTTGTATTGCACCACCACTGTATAGCTGCGCGGAGAACAAAGAGGGCGTTGCAGTCTTCGGTTCTCTGTTTTCATTTGTTACCCAACTATTTGTGGCACTTTTCTTGCAACATAGAACAACAGCATTGCCTCACTGAAGACATTTACTAAAAACGAGTGTTGCTCTCTCTGCCTTAAGCGACACTGGATGTTCACCTCTCTAAGAATGAATCCACATACACTTTCATCTGTATCAATGAAAAAAAAAAAAAACAGATCCAAAGGAGTTTTATTTCTCTCAAGAGCACAAATGGTGTTAAAGATGGTCAGCGAAGTCTCAGTGTGAAGACTCGATGTTGTCATTTTGGTGTTTTGAACCCTGAAGTGACAAGCGAGCTCTTAAATAATGACGTGTCAATTACAACTCATTAGCCAGTAAACAAAACCTGGATAGTCCTCCTTTCTGACTGTAACGATACAGTCGACCATAATTTATAAAATGTTCTATTCAGTGACTGAGCCGAGAAAAGACATTTTTTCCCCCATAGACTTCTTTACAACTTGAAGTCTTTTTTTTTTCAAACCAGATGACTTGCCCCCTGCTGGCCGTTAAAAGAATGCAGCATCGCTTTTCAGACTTGGAAGCTGGCAGCACATCCATCTTATATATACAGTCTATGGTCACGACACAAGGACACTCCACACCTCAACTTTGATGTAGCTAAGAGTACTAAAAATCTGTGATATTAGAACCACTTACCTGCACTTCATTACTGTTACTCGCACTGATATGTGCAAAACAAAACCCAGAGTAATGCTTCTGGTCTAAAATATACAATTGGAAAGCAGATTTGTTAGATAATGTGATGTGGTCACATTATCGGGATATGATTCTCCTGAGAGGCGGTAATCACCATTACTAGCCAAAACACAGCAAAGGAAGAGACGTTACACGAGAGCTGCAATTTGCTGTAATTCTCTGAAGCTTTTTGGTCCATTTTGGTGTCTGGATGTTCAACAAACACACTTTTCTGCCTTTCTGTACATGTCTCGCGGACTTTCTGACTCACTCTCCTAAAAGAGGAGCAGTGGGAGGGAAATGATGGTACATCCAGTTACCTAATGCTCTCTGGATAATAACAGAACAGGCCGGACACTGTTTACAGCACTTTCAGAAAGATCTACTGTATTTAGACAAACAAAGATGGAGAACGAGAAGATGTGCTCACTAAACTCCATACACAATGGTACCGGATTATCCCCCGAGTATCCTGATGTACACACAGCCTACGGTGAGGACGCAAGGGAATAACACGGAGTACTTCTCCCTGCCATCAGAGAAAACTGCTGTAAAATAAGAGTACTCACACGATTCAAACACAGAACAGCTTCACAACGGCGTGCACACTAAAACTCTGGCACTGCCTGTCAGGCAGAGGCTGTATGAAACTCAAAGAGTGTTTGTCCTACATTCATTTTCAGGGACTCGCCCACACATTGCTGGATAAATGTGGTGCTTTATAAAAGGTAATCACCTTGTCTCTGCGTGCTCTCAGAACTCAGAAACAAAGTAAATACCTCACTTTTAATTATCAAGCAAATTATCTGCACCTATATCTAGACTGTGAGTTTCTCCAGCTGCTACAAACAGGCTGAATGAAGGTTTGTTACATGATGAGATGATGAGCCAAATAATCGATTTGCTGATCAACACCATTATTTGATCAGCCATTTACAGTTTCTTGAATTTGAGAAACTAACTCTTTTTAATATGTTATGATTGGAAACTGTATATACACTCATTAGGTACAGTGGTTCAATTGCTCATTAATACAAGTATCTAATTGGCAAAGAAATTGGCATCAATTCAGTCCAGTCATGGAGACACGGTCAAAATCACCCGCTGAAGTTCAAACTGAGCATCAGAATGGGGGAAAAAAGGTGATTTAAGTGATGTGGAACATTGCATGGTTGGTCTGAATACTTCACAAACTCCCGATATGCTGTGATTGTCCCACAAAACCATCTCTGGGGTTTATAGAGAATTATCTGGTTGAAAATACCTTCGTGATGTCAGAGTTCAGAGGAGAATACCCAGACAGGTTTGAGCTGATAGGAAGGCAACAATAACTCAAATAACAATCGTTGCAATCAAGGTATCCAGAACAGCATCTCTGAATGTACATTGTGTTGAACCTCAAAGCTCATGGGCTACAGCAGCAGAAGGCCACACTTGATGCCACCCATGTCAGCTATGAACACGAAACCGAGGCTACAACTCACCAGAACTGGAGAATAGAAGATTTGTAAAACGTTCCCTGGTCTGATTTGTCTCGATTTCTACGGTAACATTAAGAGGATAGGGTCAAAATTTGGAGTAAACAACTTGAGAACGTGGCTCTACCCAGCTTTGTATCGACAAGTTGCTGCTGGTGGTTAATGTGTGTGGATATTTTCTTGGCACATTTTCGGTACATTAGTACCAACCGAGTATCATTTAAATACCACAGCCTACCTGAGAACTCTTGATGACCTTGTCCATCCCTTTATGACCAGAGTGTACTCAAAGCTCAGATCATTCACACTGGTTTCTATTGAAATGGGCTCCAGAGATCTTTGAGATGTGCTGGAACGGGAGATTCACATCATGGATGGGCAGCCGACAAATGTGCAGCAGCTGTGTAATGCTCTCATGTCAATATGGAAATCTCTGAGGAATGTCTCCAGAATGTTATTGGATCGATGCCATTAAGAAAAAAGCACCTCTGAAGACA